GATGGATGGACAAGGTCATTCCGATCTACTCTATAAAGATCGGGGCCTGTGGGTAGGTTTGGGTGGGAGAGATGGATGGACAAGGTCATTCCGATCTACTCTATAAAGATCGGGGCCTGTGGGTAGGTTTGGGTGGGAGAGATGGATAGACAAGGTCATTCCGATCTACTCTATAAAGATCGGGGCCTGCGGGTAGGTTTGGGTGGGAGGGATGGATGGACAAGGTCATTCCGATCTACTCTATAAAGATCGGGGCCTGTGGGTAGGTTTGGGTGGGAGGGATGGATGGACGGACAAGGTCATTCCGATCTACTCTATAAGGATCGATGATGTCCCAGTATGCTTGTAATGGATTCCTCTAGTTGGTTAAAAAGATTTGTCAGTAGGGTTTTATTATTATATAATGTAATATTTTCCGTGGCGAGATGATTGCTTGGTTTTATGTTGATCTGCTAGCCAGGAATTCCGCCATGTCTATCTACATGTTCCCGGAGACAGTGGTGCGGGGACTCGGTGGTATTGGCTCCTTCACAGGGAAAGCTTCTTCTTCCATTAATATTTCATGAATTGATGATGTTGAGATCGGATTAAAACGTGTAATTTTAGTTTACCTACAATAGCAGATATAGATCGCAGCCGTAGTAGGGATATATATACAAACCTCACTTTGGTTACCGGGCTAACTGTTCGCAGGTCAAGCTTGACAGTGTAGATTCCGCAGTGGAAGGCAAGATGTTCCAGGAAGTTAACATTATGTATGTAGTAACTGGACAGCTACCGTGGCTAAGTTGTAATTGTTTTCAGTTAGGAGGCAGAGATAAGGATATAGTGTGGAAATCTGCCCCAATACCGCTGCATAAAATGAATAATGATCTGAGGAATATCCCTCGGCGTCTGCCTATAGCTGTCCCGAGCTCCTTGCGCACTCCCCAAATATAAGTGGTGAAGTGTGGGTAAATGAGGACGATTAGTATCCAATGTTGTCACTTAAGCCAGCAAGTCAGGATATGTCAGAGCCCAGTGCCTGGTTGCTAAGGAGATTGAATGTTAAATATTGCAAATTTCATTTCTCAGGTCCCCCATGCACCGTATCTGTGTATTGTAATTACTAAGAGGAACTAAATATTGTATTGCTTTCAAACGGGGGGAAAAAACTCCATGCTTTCTTTAATATGGGGACATTCTGCTTGTTTCTGACGAGAATCTAATTTAGATTCTGCTCATCTCTTGGATAATGGGAGGTCTGTATGTAGATGTCATTGCTGTGAAGGTCTGGTGCTACAAAACTTATTGTGGGGCACATCAGGCCACGCACAAGTGTGCAAATCATCCCTCTAAATGAGCTACGCAGCCTGACGATGAGACGAGGACAAAAACAGCTTCGGTAATGGCCAGTGATGATGATCGCGCGGTACTGTAACAAAAGGCTGTCGCCACGGCCATGGCCCGGCCTGGTCCTCATAATCTGATAGAGAACAAACGTAATTTGTTTTGATACCAAGTCGCTGTAGGTGTAATTCCTCATTGGGCAAGATGTAAAAACATAATCATCAATATATGTTATGCTTTCTCATCTGACCGCTGCTTATGAAGGACTCGGGCAGGTTGCTATGGGGTACTCCCAAGACGATCGCTATGGTGATGACTTACCCTAGCCCCAACGTTGGGGTCCGCGTCTTTTTGCGATATTTGCCATTTGCTTTCATTCCACTTTCGCAGCTAATCAAATTTCTCACGACCATATAAAGAAATTCCATCATAACAGAAAATTGTCATGTAATGAATACCAATCGTATTGTGGATCACAACCCCTCGGTGCATGAACTTGTTTCAGTATATTGTATTTTATAATGAAATTCATTTGCCTCGGTAAATTCGTTTGGATTATATTTTTTCATCACTGATAGCAAAGGTTGTAGATTTATCCTGTTAAATTATTGGTTGCTAAAAGAAAAACTGAAGCCATGCTCAATTTGTTTAGTGTTATTATAGTTTTCGTTACTGATGAGGACATCAGTAAATTCAGCACAATAAATTGGTGCTCGAAGGAAAATGACAAGTGTCGAAGAGTGTGGGTTTGCATAGCTTTGTCCTGAGGGCCTCACTGCCAAACGGTGGGGAAACGTATGTTGTCACTAAATGTGCCCTAAAAGGCTAATTTGACGTCTGCTTCAGTGCTCTGGCCCCTGGTGGGGGGTCTTTGTTTGGCGTGGGCATGATTAGAGGTGCTTGTCGAGCTAGCTACTGGGGTGGATGGGTAGATAGTCGTGGATAATCCAACCCAAACACGCCTTAAGCTTGGAGTATTGTGGCCGTTTCATGCTTTATTTGGCGATGTTTTAATTGTGTTTCTGCTTTCTTCCATCACGGCTCTTCTCTTGTTAGAAGCTAGACGCAATGTTGTAATGGTGTAGGCATTTATAGATTTCATTAAATTTGTCCATACAGCCTCAATTTGACAATGAGTTAAGATAAGGTTTGGTACGCCTTGTTGCTGCTCTTTTTACACATGACAGAAACCTGCGAATATGATGATTTGTTGCTCGACAGATAAAATTCTATCAGATGATTAGGATGCAGAAAATTGCTTCTTTTTATCGTCCTACAATACACATGGCTGTCGGTCCGGTCCGCTGTTTTGTCGTCTTCTGCTGAGGTTGGTAATTATCGTTATAATTTACCTAATATACCGAAATCGCATGTCAAGCCCGAGTCTGAATTTTTTGTCGTGAAGTTTTTGCTCTCTGCTCTATTTCTACCTGTCACTATACTATTTTCGTTTCACAATTTTGTTTTGTTTATTTTCATGCTTGAGTTGCATGTTGATAATATACCTGTGTTCTCAATTATCGTCAGGTGGACGGGTTGCGGTAACAGATATGTTAGGAGAGTAGGGCACAGTTTTTGTTAGTTCCAAGTTTCGAGTATAGAATGAGGCCCCGGAAGTATTTGTTGTCAGTTGCAGGTTGATGGTTTGTTTTTATGGGCCAAAGGGTTCCCCTATTTGAGATCATATTAAGCAAGGCCATGTATTTTTGTTTTCATCGTTTTTAAACACATTTTGATCGGCAGGTTGAGAGATTTTGTGGTGGTCTATGGTCTGTAATAATCTTTGACAATTTTAATCCGTCTAATCTCTATATGTAATTTATTAATATCCCAAGTCCAAATGAAGTTCATTATTCATGTAAGAAAATATAATTATTGGTCATTCTATTAGAGGGAGGATATACAATAAGTAGCCAACCCTTAGGTTTAATATCAATTCTTAAAATCCTTGGTTACAATATTCCTACCTTCCTTGTAGTCTGATGGAGGTTAGTCACAAAGTGAATAAAAAGATTTTCTGCACATTTGGGTAGATATACAGTGTGACACTAGGGGCCAGACTGTCTGCTTCTCCAGGTTTAGGGGTTTGTGAGGTTGGTTTAGTCAGGGCACCTGGGTCGAAGGTGACCAGAGTTTATATTACAATCATTCATGTAAGCCCAGTCAACCTAACCCTGCCACACGCTGGCAATCCGTTTTTGTCACCAAAACTTGGGGAGACACAAATTTGAATTTTTAAGATGGAAAGTACACAACGGGCCTCGGTGACTGTGTAGACAAACTAGTTTGTTTAGCTGTCGTAATAACGTCCTTCATACCCCCATTATAGTGCAGTCATTTTCTCAAACGGCAGTTTTAGCTTACAGCCAGAAGCTGAGGGGTTGTAATTAGAGGAACTGCTTTATCCAGAAGACAAAACCTATGATTTTAGTTGTAGCAGAAGAAAATTATATAACTACATAGCTATGTCTTTGCTTTTCTTTATAATATTGTTAAAAGCCGGGATTATTATGTGTGTTTATACAGTCCAACAGAAAAAAATAAACATTTCAAATTTAAGGCTAGGCAGCTATATTATATATTTTTAGAAAAGCTCGAGTTTTGTCCAGAAATTTCTGCATTATCTTCAGACCTCTGATAAACAGAAGAAAATCATAAAATAAACGTTGATAATAAAAACTTTGCACATTTAAGGAGTCCATATTGATTTTTTCCTAACATGCAGTAGCATCTTTGGAGATCTGCATGTTAAATATAGGCATACCAGGCCATTCATTCACAGCGCTAGGACGGAAAGCCAGCGGGGAAAAGTGAATTGCCGATTGCCCCGAATGACAGGAAAATCCACATTCAAAACAACACTGATTACAAGTGTATTGTTCCTCATAAACGCAATCGCCCACTTAAGCCCTTCTCACGTCACTCTGTCACGGCCAGCTGACGATCAGCTGATGGGCCAGGCGATGGTAGTGTCGGCACAATCACAAGTCGTCGTGCACCGGGAGGCAACACTCATACACTGGGGCCCCACTCGGGGCCCACCAGGCCCCACTCGGGGCTTGCCTGGCAACACTGTAGGCTTGCGTCAACACTGGGGCTCATCAACCCAATAACACTGGAGGCGACCCCGAAACAATACAGCATTCCTCACTACTTTGTCCTCCTCTATCACCTCCTCATCCTCTTGTCCTCATACTAACGACCGGAGATAAGCTTGGAGACTGTTCACCACTCTGAAATAATAAAGGATCCCAGCAGACCATTTTCAGAATAAGTGCACTTGACTTCTCCTATCTGCTGATGAATCTCTCAGTTTTTAATTTTTCACCTCTCAATCTTGACTTTTTGTAAAACCCTTTGAAATTCACAGCATGTTTCTCAAAATTAAACAAATTAGTATTTTTGATATTTTATTACACTACTACTAATAATGTTGATTGCTCTGTTTTCTTGCCACAGTGTCTGTATGTTATAATGAATATGTGACTACAATTTTGACACAGGTGAAAGGATTCGACTGGACTCAAGACATTATTTTTAAAATTGACTGACTGAAATTGTGAGATTGTCATGGAAACGTCAATAATTGCAAGAATCAGTTTCACTATTTTGTGACTGTTGAGTTTTGAAGGAAGACGGAAGTAAATGGCTAAATTGTACTCTTATGGGCTTTTTTCTCAGAAGTGTTTAACAGGGAGTGTGGTTTACCTGGTTTTTATTGACCGAGAATGTTTTATACCTCCGGTGACTGGGGACAGATGCAATTGTGTCAGTGGTTTAACTTGAAATTGTTTGAGTGGAATATGATAAGACTGAGGATGGCTTGTGTCCCCTGCCAAGGTATGGTGTGGTTTTCCTCTGTTGTTTCAAGTAATTTTCTAGATCTATATAGAAATTTTGTTTGTAGTAAGGGACTGTCTGTCCCACCATTATACATCACAAGGATGGGAGTATGGTTCCTGGTTTTATCCCCAGGTGGCACTGTTCGGCTGTGGCATGCTTGGTTGTTTATTTACTTTGGGGAGCTTGGTCTCCAGATAGAGGAGCTTGTTCTGCCCACTGGGGGCCTACTGTGGTTGTAACAGAGTTACTAAAAACAATTTTGAGATATCTGGTGTATTTTCGTGTGATGTGAGAGTTGTGTATAGAACTTGTGATATGTTAGTATTTACTGTTTACACACAGACTGGACTGTTTATCTAGTAGGTAAAGTATATCCACAGTGGCTGACCACTGACCAAATGGTGCCCTATTTGATAGCCATTTTAAAACATGTGCATCCTTATGGATTCAAACCCTCAAAATTCTCACAGAGAAAACCTAGCAGGGAATTCGAGAATTTGATTTTTGAAAATTGAAATATTCAAATTTTGAGATTTCATTTTTTGATTATTTTTTTTGATATATCTAACAGAAAGCCAAAGTCTTAATAAAATAAGAATTTATTCTTATTTGTATAATTTTTTTTTAACGGATGTCACACCCTAATAAGTGTGCATCAGTAATAAACTTTGGCTTTTCATATAAATAATAGCTGTTCTAAATGAGCAACATGCAAGTTAAGAGTTATCTCACCCTGCTATGGTTTTCTCTGTTGACAGGGCCAAATGTTTTCTTCGATGTCATCGATGTCGTCATGGGGATGCAGGGCGTAGCCATGGAGACAGGATAGCCTTTGGGGAGGCCATTGTGGTTACCTGTATGCAAATGACATGTGCCTTGTCTCCTGAACCAGAGGTCAAAGGTCATGGAGTTTGGGGAGTGGTCAAGGTCATGGAACTGAGGGGGTTTGCCATGGCAGCAGTAAAGCGGTGGAACTGTGACGGACTGACTTGCTCCGTGTGATTGACTGGACGTAGGTTTCGGACAGTCGAAATTGTGTTAAAATCGGTATGGTGTAGAGGCGTTTATACAAGCCGTTTAACAACAGCTAAGAGTGACCTTGGACGAGAAACCTGTGATTTTATAACTACATAGATACATTGAAGACATAAGTGAATTACTTTTGAATTTTTAAAGACGTCTCTTTGGCAGACACAGCCATCTTGTGATAGGGCCCCCGGGATGGCCTTCATCCTCAAAGTGATGAGGGGGAAAGCCCTCAGGTCACCAGGATCGTCGCGCCTCACTTGATCCTGATCCTCTTTTGTTTATTTTTGTTTATTTTTATTTAACCTTTGTGTATACTAAGTCAATAATTTTGTCCTCTTTAGTAACATAACTGGTCACAAATCCCAGAACACTCTGCCTGGTCCGATATCTCCCAAAACATAGACCCACATCACAACATGTAGGCTACAATTTCCAACCTGCCTGAGTTGCATCGCCCAATCTGGTCACAATTTCCTAAATCACCGTATCATCCACGAGGTGAGGCGTTCACTTCTCACGAACAGGAGCCTCTTTTTGTTTACTGTAGTAAATCTTTGTTGACATTTTATATACATACTTGTATATACATATAGCTATATACTGAGTTTTAAATTGGAAAGAGGAAGGAGGATATCAAATTTGCCAAAATCTATTATGTTGAGGTAAAGGAAAAAGGATGACAGAGAAATGTTTAGATAAAAATTAGGATGGGGGGGGGGGGGCTGGTAAAAAATTGTATCTCCTGCTGAAGTGAGTTGTGGCGGGTGTCTAGTCGTAAAGACAATCACCAGGAAAAGAGTACAACTGTACAAGTTACATATATCCACACCAGCTTGAGATCAATTAAGATGTGTTCCTTCCATTTCAATTATCGAATAAGGAGCCAACTGTACATCAGCATCGAGCTGTTTGGAATAATAGCCGTTATGGCAGTCATTGGAAATTGTTCAATTTATATAACTTGGGTCTCCCGTGATCACTGGAGCTGGCGAGATGGGTTTAGATTGTGCGATTTGACTCGGGAGTGAAGACCTGGTGCTGTGGGTCTCTCTACTCATTGATTAGCCATTGATTAATAGAAATAACTCCGAACACTGCCTTGTATGGATGATGGGACGGCTCTTCTTTCCCTAGGCTTCACCGGGCCGGGGACCTGTGTGTGTGTGTGTGTGTGTGTGTGTGTGTGTGTGTGTGTGTAGGGACACCACCACTGGACACGCGTTCGGTGTAAATCAGACACACAGTCACACAGCCCACTAAGTACATGCCCCTACTAGTACAGGCCAGGTTTATGTTTACCTGGCTTTATTTTGCTGTTTCTGCCCGATTACTTATGATATCATTAGAGAGGCTATAACTGGGTCTCCACAATACAGAATCTGGCTCGGGTTTATTTGATTTGAAATACAATCCCGACCTCGGGCACATTTTACTTTTGTATGTGATCAGAATCTCCTTGTGCTACGTCTGTTACAAACCTTAGTGCTACACTTTTACTAGAAACACACCTGATCCAGGCTGTCAATGACCTTAAGGTTATTTTGAAGAAATACAAAAAAATATATATATATAAGTCTTGTTTTAATAATATATGTGGTGTCAAAATATTGATATGTCTCTTTTATGTTACACAGGGGTATACTTGAAGTACCTGTAATTATATTGTACTCTGAGCAATTTGTTTATTTTCCTGATTCCTGTTTGAGAGTTGGTGACACTCCAGCAATATTTTGAGTTGAGAGTAGTAACTACCTAGACATTCCTATGTAACTGTTAGTAGTGTACCTGTTATCTGTATGCCTGTCTGACGAGGCTGCAGGCGAGACAGATTTTTTTTCTATTTTATTTTTTCAACTTTATATACTTGTCATGATGTGTCACTTTGGTAAAAAAATTAAACAACTTTCATAACAGCTATGTTGTGAAAGATACATTAAACAACTTTCATACGGAACAGCTGTGTTGTGAAAAATACATTGAACAAACTTCATATTGAACAGTTATGATTTGAAAGATACATTGAACAAATTTCATATTGAACAGTTATGATTTGAAAGATACATTGAACAAATTTCATTTTGAACAGTTATGATTTGAAAGATACATTGAACAAATTTCATATTGAACAGTTATGATTTGAAAGATACATTGAACAAATTTCATATTGAACAGTTATGATTTGAAAGATACATTGAACAAATTTCTTATAAATATTGAACCTTTTTAGTTTGAAAACGCATTGAACATTTGGACTGCAAGTTTCATATTGAAAAAACACTTCATTTATTATTTTTGAACTTTGCTGTACAGTATAATAATTTTCACCTTGAACAAAACTTGTTGAATAATTTTTACATTGGAAAAAGTTTGGACGAATTTCTCATGATGAACATCTATTACTTGATGTTAAACTCCTTATTTAGTTTAAAAAAAAAAAGATAAAGTGTCTACATTTGATAATAATATTAAACAATATAAACTTTTCAATGTCAGTTATTTTTATGACATTGGCAAAAAGTTATTTGTGTGAAGTTAGATTGATGAACAATATTTAGCATATATATGTATCGGTTTGTGTAGCATTCATTAAATTTTGTGTTAAAATAAAAAAAATAAAACTTTATTGGAACAATTTACATTGATCAGTGTTCATAGTAATGATTCTTTTAGTGTTCAAATCAGAGGTGCTTGTATGTTGAGTCGTAAACTCCATTTTTTTCTTCTTCATTTTTCGTTTTCATTTCCTATTATTATCAGAATTCATTAAATGATGTTGGCAAGAGTGTTAGATTTCTCATACTTTCATTTTTTTCTCTCGTTTTTGAGTAATTTTTGCAACACAATATTTATACAATTGTAGAGTTGCCAGTTTTTGTGCCGGTAACCAAATGTTTATATAATTCATTTTTCGAATTACCGAAGTCATACCGCATCATGTGTATCATTATGCCTGTGTGAGTGTCCGAATTGGCCCGTGTGCGTGTGTACATGATCCGGTGAGTAGATGAGTGACCAAGGAAATGTTAGGTAAGGAGAAACACAATCGTGTATTTTATTGCATTCCAGTTTATATAGATGATTTTTTTTCTATAATGTTAAGCTATGACTTCTCAAAAAATTTGTATTGGAAAACGTGCCCAGGGGGTCAAAGTGAGATACAGAATCTCAAAAAAAAAAAAAATCGACATAAATTTCATGCTTTTTCTACAAGTTGCATTCATTTATTTTTTTAAGTGAAATAAATTTGTTTTTATTTGCCCACCATCAATTATTTTTAATGGCGAAAAATTTAGCTTGATCAGATAGACATTTATTCGTAATTTCTTGGTAATTATTTTACAGAATATGTAAAGGGCTATGTATGATGTTTTACTTGAAAAAATAGTTTGTTACAATGTTCATATTGGTAATTATATTATTTTAATTATTTTGTCATATTTTATAAAAATATGAAGTTTCCGTAATGTTGTCGATGTGTCCGTGAAAAGCATGCACCTTGTGAAGTTCTAGTAGTCCAATACTGTTGTCCTGACAATTGTCCTGTTATCAGTAAATGTCTTGAAAAGATTCCTTTTTTTTTTTTATTCTTTTTGAAAATGAACAGGAAATCCTACGTGTCATATTTTTGTTAGAAACGATAAGCGATAAGAATGGGGAGAAAAAAGCATTCTTACTGTGATTTACATTATACCTCTTTTATTTATTTCTGAGTTTTTCTTATTACGATAAAAGTCCAGCTTGAGTGTAGGTCATCACTTAAGTTTTTTTATTCACAAGTACTAGATGATAGAAAACCTGAGGATTGGTTTCTTTAATGGTGTAGCTTCATTCACCCACAAATGGTGCCATATTAATTGTATCGTGTAAGAGATTCTATTTTGAAGATTATTGAATGGGAGCGAGAGTAAGAATACGAGAGGGAAGTTGGTACTCTATATAACAACTGTATCATATGTCACTAATATCAATAAAAAAAATGTTATCAACAGCGTCACGACTTCCATTGACATTTTATGATAAATGTTACGACTTTATTAGAAGTATGATTGCAGGGTAAATGAAATTCCATCTTAAATACACAGCGAATACAAGATCCACATTGAATACAAGACCCGCATTGAATACAAGATCCACATTGAATACAAGATCCACATTGAATACAGGGAGAATGAAAATTAATCACGGATATAACAGAGATGCTTAACCCAGAATAAATATATATATAGGATACGGGGAATTCATACTAAAGTTTACATACAAAATACTAGAGCCGGGGCCGATACTAGACTGAGAATTAATAATGGATAAAGGTCTGTGTATAGCACCTTGCTACTCGTAAAAACGAAGCAAGCAGATTTATACAGGCAATCGAAATGGAAATATTGTTAAATCCATCGGCTTTATGTTGCCTGGGCTGTATTATGTGTGATGGGGGAATCGTAGGAACACGAAGCCAGGAGACTCGGGGCCCCATAACCCTTGCACAACTGTTGACATTAAACTCTTATACACATCTGGCAGACAACACTACATCACCTACCAATTTTTACTGAATGAATTATATTTTTGACGAAAACTTCTTGAAAGTTATAGCGCATGGGGAAAGGTTATGCCGTTTGGAAGTGCTAAGTACATCTGGTTTTTGCCATCGTTTTTAAAAGTTGAGGCAATATCTATTGGGGGGATTTAAGGAGGAGGAGGAGGTACTAAGAACTGTATCTGGTGCGATGTACAGAACTATCACTATACCGAGTGTTAGTGTGGCACTAGATCTCAACACCAACGGTGGAACACATGTGTTTACTTAGTCCCTAGACAGCTGCTGCTAAACCCTGCTATAAAACGTAGGATGCTCCCTACAAATGTTTCCTCTCGGTTTAGAAGATCAGAGTACGGCCCTTTTGTTGTTGCGACACAGACACCGTCTTAATGCGACACACACCGTCTTAGGACAGTCCTTCCAGATTCACGATTTTGTCACTGGGTCGGTTGTCAAGTCCCTTGCATATAAAAGTCCCCCTCACAGGGTCCATCTCGTGTATTGAAATCTCTGGGATGGAAAAACTTGATGGTTAAAATTTATGCTTTCAATATATACCCGATTTAAATGTACTCGTGTCATGTCATATGTAAAATGGGTGGTCCGTACATTGTTATTGCGCGAGAAAAAAAATGGAGATCTCCGTCAATCTGTGTTTACCGTCATAATCTGTCGGGAGAAAAGAGGACAAATACTCGCCCATTGTTATGTATCTTAAGTCGCATGGAGCCAAACCTCCCCACCTTTCAACGGAGAATAAATAAATTTTATGATTCATTGCCCAGAGCCAAAGCTTGACAGGTAAAATTAATCCAATGGTATTTTTACATGAGCATGAAATTTGATGCCGATTTCATGCGGAAAAATTATGCAGATATGGCAGATGAGAGTGATAGCCAATGAATCTGCCCATCTATTCAAGTTCTCCACACGATGAAAACAATGGGGTATTGTTCGAATAAAACCTACTATGTCAACACGCCAGCCCACAAGTAAATGTTGCCATGTGTAAAATGGGCAAGGTTGAGGTATAAAAAAACACCTGGATAATTTATTGTACAAAACAATCTTTTCCTAGCAATAATATAAACATAGAATTGACGAGAGGAAAATTAAAACGGCCCATTTTGTAGCTATGAAAATGTGTTGGTTGTAGATATAGATGAATATGGATGGGGGAATTGTGATGGCGTATTAATCATACTGGGTCGACCTAGTAGGATATCCACTTGAGATTGTGTGTAGTTGATCTATTGGGTGTGTAAGGCTTTAGTACATAGAGCTGTGCCTTGCTAACCTGGTGTAGTATGCTGTAAGGCTTCGTCAGATGTATCAGCGCGCTAATGAAGGACCGCACTACCTCCATGTAGGCGCATCGAAACGTTCGCACCTGCATACAGGTAAACAAGACTACTCAAAATTGTTAATTAGATTTTTATTTTATTTATGAATTTTCATGCGCAGTGGTATGAATTTTTATTTGGTAATGTGAAAAGAATTAAGGTCAGTATTTTTTCTGTGCTGATGATAAATCTAAATTATAATTTAAATGGAAATCAGATGGTTGTGGCTAATTGTCACCGACATTTACGCGGACAATTGTCATTTTTCTTTGACATTTGTAAAGAAAGGTCTGTTTGACATTTCAAGTAAAAATCATACAATGTGAAATATAACATATCAAAGAAATATGAATAAACAATTATCAACTATTAGCTGGTGACGTCCGAAAAAATAATCTTGTGTGTGATTTTGAAACGTTTCGTCGGCTTAGAGAGAGATGGGGTTGATGTGTGTTATCACAATTTCATGAGGAAATTAAGAAGTCTTGGAACTGGTGAACGAACCTATCCTGGGATAGGAGGCCCTATCCAGCAGCACAAACAAGAGATAGCTATCTCCTTCTACACCCGCGCTCTGAAATGGTTATTATAGTTTGGATCACGTTTTCTGACAGGGGGGTCAAGTTAATTTAGAATTAGACCATTTGCCATCGACCACTGTAAATTCTCGGCATTTGCAGCGAGTATTTGATAATTCGACTGGCCTTATTGATTTTTGCGGGTTGTATAATGTTGATTTTAAATATAATAGGAAAGACTATCCCTAGTCGCGCAGTGACATATTGAGTTTTTCTATCGCGTCCTGAATTAGTTTTCTGTGGATATTATGCTGCGTACGGAGCGCATACATCTGAATGTAAGAGCCCTTCTATGCGATTGACAAATGCCATATTTGGATTGAATCAAAGATAAATTCAATTCTCCAATATCGTAGATGTGCATTAGCGACGGTACAGTGGGATGGAAATTGGTGAACATCTTTTTAGAGAAATCATCCTCTATATACGCGTGCAGTATGCTGCAATCTAGTCTCGAGTTGTAATGGCATATACAGGACCCTTCCAACACCAGTGAAAATACATTACATACAAATGATGTTAGTATCTTGTCAAGTTATACTACAATCAAATCAGGACGAAACGACTTAAATCATTTGCCATTTATGACCGCTCGGTCTCTGACGAAAAGTGACTTGGCGTTAAGAGAGTTGTTACTCGTCCCGATAAAATCATATCACAAGGAAAGGGACGCCAAGTCCTGAAAGGTTGTGTATAGGAAAGGGCAAGACTTCTTATCCAGACACTGAAGGGTAAAAATATCACCCCCTAGAGGTTATACTGGCAGGAAAGGGCATAATACTCGACCCCAAAAAGTGTTGCAAGATAATCTACCCTAAAAGGGTTGGATATATGAAAGGGCAACAAATTCTAGCCTTAAAATAGTTCTGTATATAATAAAGAATCTTGGTCAAGATATAGAGTAGCTTATCATTCATGAAAGGGTCAGATACACTACCCTAAAAGGGGTTCTACATGTATACACAAAAATATGGTTATAAATATATAATAGGACAAGTCACTGCAATTAGGTAATTGATTTAGAATGTGTGCCCTTAAAAGAATTTTACATATGAAAAGACGAGATGCTTTTCCCTAAAAAAGGATGCTCTATGATTGAACAAAATAAATGGTCTTAAAGGGTTTTATATTGGAATGGGCACCAACTCCTAATTGTTCCATATATGTATGTCAGAATGCAGAAATCTTTGACCCTACAGGTATCCAGAATTCTGCTGCGTACCTGTGATTGTTTCCCAGCATGTGGGGCAAGCTGGGGGCACAATTCCACTAGCCAGACACCTGGGACTAATATTGAAATTTTCTGTATTTACAATGACAATATAGATAAGACTAGTATTGTATAAAAAATCTGGTTGTAGGTTAGTACTCTAAATATGAAACTGTACACCCCTGTCACGTCATATGTCAGGAGGATAATCACCTCGAGTTAAAGTTTCAACGTGTGTATACAAAAATTGCTTTATTTAATTTCTCACTCTGAAATATTTCCTGACATAAAATGAAGATATCATTATTTCCTACTCTAGGTTAAATAGTTTTACCGAGACTAATTCACCGAGGGAATTGATTCAAATGGCTTCCACGAGTTGTGTAATTCCAAGGTCGGGCTATCCTTCACCATGGCAACACTGTCTACAAAACCGGCGTGGGACGTGTTTGCAGTGACCTTGTCAAAAAATGGATTCAAATTTTACAGTCGACATTTCGTAACTATGTCAACACTTTTGATTTTCGATATTCCACCCCCAGGATTTTAATCAAAGAAAAGCCGTATTTCCTGTGGTCCTGTAATACCGGCGTTCTCTGTTGGCCTGCGGGGTACACTCAAATGGCAAAAGGTCATCGCAAGAGAACATACTTATCAATGCTTATCTCCCCTGCCCGCCACCCGACAGACGGTTGTGTATGTGTAGTGGGGGACTCGCATATTTATGTTTCCCCAATTCCTGATTGGCCTCAGGTAGATATGTTACCTGTTGTGTCCAGTGTCTTGTCTGGACGGTAATCAGTAGCGCGAGCACACCCGGGCCCCGGACACGAGTACAATGTATATAATAATGTTGTATCAACGCCGTCTCCTATAAACCCAACAATAAGCTGATGGTCTGGTTTTTACTCTGTTGTCTTAACATACCTCATTTGCATGTAATCTTTAACACATAATTGCGGAGCAATACAAACCAAACTTCATATTAAAGGTAAAAATTGTTGAGGCTAGAGGCCGATCGTTTATTGAATTACAGCCGTGTCTGCTTTCCTGTGCAGCATCAAGCTCTTCCACGCCACATAATGCCTGGATGCTGGAGCGACGCCAGATTGAATAGATGTATTGGCAAAACTATTGTCCTGGGTATAGCACTGTCAATAATGACTTGACTGCATTTTTCCCAGTGGCATCTTCCACAGTTTCTGATGAGAGAAACAGGGTTTTAATATCACATCGGCCTGTTATAATCATAAATTCCTTCCACTTTAAATGATCATCAACATTTTGACATACAGAACAGGCTCCCAGATAGTTTGTTGT